CTCTCATAAAAACCCTTCTCTTCTTATAGAAGATTATGGCAAATCTGATCCTTTTCGAATATGTTTGCTCGATCGTGAGATGCAAGTCCTTGAAGTACCGAACGATCCTTTTATTGATTCTATGTGGTTGTGTGTTTGGACCATCGATTCCTGCAATGGCTTGGTCTGCATGGGAGTCGCTACTTTTCCTAAATCTCTTTCCCTTTTTGTATGGAATCCAGCGACTAGGGAGGTGAGGCGGGTGTCTAGAGCTGTTAGTTCTTTTGAATACGAGGAATTCTATGTAGGATTTGGGTTCAGTCCATGGGTTGGTGATTACAAGATAGTGAAAATTGGTGTTTCTGGGAATGATTGTCTGGTTAATCAAGTAGAAGCCTATTCATTAAGCATAGGGTCATGGAGGGAAGTAGAATTTGGGAACTTAGATGGTGTAGCGATTACTTCTAACGGTTTCACTTCTAATGGATCTATCTTTTGGATTGGGTCAAGATTGGGTGTGGGGGAGGATGAAGATGATTTTGATTTGATTGTCTCATTTGACATAGCAATGGAAGTGTTTACATTGATACCAATGCCTTCTTCACCCTTGTCAATTACAAATACACCATATCCCAGGTATCTTACTGTATATGAAAACAAGCTTGCTCTGCTCTCTCACACTTTGAGTGGAGACTTCAAATCGTCCTTGATTCATTTGTGGGTGATGGAGGAGGGTACATGTGTCTCTAGAGAGAGATGGAGTTGGACTAAGACATATACTAGCAGCCCTTATTCAGGTTGCTTGTTAGTTCCAACGACTATTTGGAGGAATGAAATTGTATGCAATGTTTCTATGTTGTTCGAACCCATTGATCAAGTTGAAGATGATGCAGAGAATGATGAACGAAAAATTGTTATGTTCAATCTCACAACCAATGAATTTAAGACGTTTGATATCCGCAAATCTGTCCTTGGTTATGGTATTTTCAATTATACAGAAAGCCTTGTACCAGTCGGCAACATCCACACTGAATAGCAATGGTCCTAAATGTTGATTATTATAATTCATATTTACTTTGTTTTCGCATGTTTGGTGGAAATGGACCTATAAGGTTTTAGTTCATTCTGTAACTACAAGGCTTGGTGTGGTTCAGAGTTTTTATCAAAATGATGAATGCAGATATGCAATAACATATGCTTCTAGCTTTATCTGAATTATCTATGATATCAAGTTATTCAATTTTCTGTCATAGATAGATTTTTTGTTTTGCCAACAAAAGATGGATATATATTTTAGTTGTTGGTGTGTGGATTAGTTAGGTCTTTTTATCCAGCTAATGTACCTAATATTTTTTTTAATATGTTAGGGAATAAAAGTGGGTGAAGCAAATTTAAGTTTCATGTCTTTTCGTTCATTTCTAATGGATAGATGAATTAAATACACTGGTTTGTGACTTTGTGGAAGTATCTCTGTTGGCCCCATTTTGGATATATGATCCCTCATTAATTCCTATCAATAATTCAAATTTTTTTTTTATTGCTAATCTAGACCATTACTTGCAACACCTACAGCTTTAGCATTTGGATCAGTTTCATGGCATTTGCTAAGCTTACCCATGAAAAGAAAGTATGGAAAAAAAAACACATGCTACCGGATGTAAGGTGGTAAGATTTTCTGTACAAACGTGAGAATTCAATTTCCACCTGGACTAGGAGCATTGAGTAAAGCTTTCGTTTTTTGGGTGAGGCATAAAGAGTATGCTCTCCCAATAGCAAAGTTTAATCTCTCTTGAAGTACTGGATAATTAGATTGTTACATATATAAGAGCTAGGATTCAAACTCTCAACTACTTGTGTAAGTGAGAAGAGCCATTATCATTTGCCCCAACCTAACTTGGTGTATTGAGTAAAGCTTTTACCAGAACTTCTGTAAATGAAGCTAGGCATTCTATTAGGTAATAATTGTTTGTTAAAGTTCTTTCTTATGGGGTCTTTTTGGTAGTTCCTTCTTTTTAGATTCATTTTGATTGACTGGATGGCTCGTTTTTCTCAGATGGTAACATTTTGGAAAAACACCAGAAAATTAAACCTTGGTCTTGACAGTGGCTTGGTTAATACATCAACAAGAAGATCAATAGAAGGAATTTGACAAGTATTTAGTTTCATCTGTGGAACCTTCTCTGTTACAAACAATCAAGTCAAGTTTCATACTTTCATATGCTTAGTGCTGTTGGGATTTATAGGTTAACTGCATTTTACTCAAGTTGTCACGATAGACATGTGGCAGTGGAACTGATATGAGAAGCTTAAGCTCATGCAAACATTAACTCTCAACTACAAAAGCCAAACACCCATATTCTGCCTCTGCACTAGAGAGCAACAAAAGTTTGCTTTCTAGCAATCTACAAGATATAGGGTCCCAATGAAAACAAAATCCTGAAGTTAGTTTTCTATCATTTGCATTGCTTACCCAATCGGCATCACAATAAAAGGTGAGAGTAAAATTAGCAGCACGTGTAAGCACATGACCTTGAGTGATAGTTCCACTAAGATTACAAAAAATGCACTTTACAGTCTTTCAATGTTATTCACAAGGTTTAATGCATATACTGATAGACTGAATTTTCACTATATCCAATCTCTGGTCATTTGATTATGGCAAGTTGAAGATCCCCTACAACTAATCTATGCAACTCAGGATTAGACCTGAGTTCAGTTTCCCCTTTTGAGAGCTCTGTTGTAGTGGCCATGTGTATAGCAGAACCCTGAGGAGACAAGGTACCAGTTCAGTCAATCTAGGATATATTTACATACATTGAGGTCGTACGATTGTGTGATCATTTGACTTCTTAACTTAAATACTTAGAAAGTAATTAATTTCAGTTAGATCCTCTGGCATGATTATTTATAAATCAACTTCTTTAGTTGACAGATATACATTGGTGAGAATCCTGTGAGCAAATTATCCTCCATGTAGTCTGAAATAGAGGCCTGATTAGTAGTTGCGACTTGAATAAAAAGAGACAGGTCACACATTTTTTTCTATAAAGCTATATTTTACAAGATCTGCAACAAGAATAATACCTATCTCCAGGAACTTGTTTCAGCACAAACAAGGTTTTGTCTAGCTTGTAAAAAGCAGACTTTTTGGGATGCTCAAAATCTGTAGGCTGTTGCTTTTAAGCATATTCTTCTAGAGTGCCATTTAGAAAAACATTATCACATCAATTTGAGACGCTGACCTATTATTTCTTTGTGCCAAGGTAAGAATGGTTCTAATCATTGGAAAGAATGGTTTCTTAAAATCAAAACCATGTGTTTGATGGAAAGCTTTGGCCACTCATATGGTTGTGTACTTGTTTATGGTTCCACTAGGGTTCTCTCTCTCTCTCTCTCTCTCTAACCCCTTAACGCCCAATCACTTTTTACCTTCAGGTGGATGGACAAAGGACCAACTTCACTGTGCATTAAAGTTTCATATTCTTCTGCCATGGCTTCGAACCTGTTAGGATTGGTAAGGGCTTGAACAGGTGTAGTGGATAGGGAAGTAGCTGTAAGAAATTCAGGATCTTTGTGAAGAATGATCGAATTGTTTCGTATAGGACATGTGGATTCTGTGGTGCAGGAAAATCAATGGAAGTTGAAACAGAAATTGGTGAGATTGGAGTAGTGTGAGATTGCAATACTGGTTGAAGCAGATAAGAACGTATTTGAGACACTAATTCATTTGCAGATGGTGCTCAATCAGAACTCAGAAGAACTAAGGCAATAATGCTTGTTAAATGTGCAGAATCCTCTTGTAGTATTTGCAGCATAAAATAAGATCTTTATACTTACGAGCTAGAAGTTTCAACTAGTAATTTTGTTACCAGTGTCCAATTCTCTTCCAATAAGGTTCTTTTTCTTGGATTTTGAGGTGGTCATAGGCTTTACAGGGTAAGTACCTGTTGACGCCATTATTGTTATTCATGATATCCAGATTTCATCTCATCCAGTTATACTGCTAGTATCCTCACAATATTTGAGTTATGCATACCTATTATAAAATTTATAATATGCATATAATAATAAAATTATAAATTTGAAACTGGTGTATTAATTATTGATATTCTATTGGATTCTTAGTCACATTATAGTAACCCAAAATACAAGTACTTTAGGTGGCTATTACGTTACTTACTTTTTCATTCCCCTTTTATAGAGTTATATCCTTGATGATGACTTGATATTAGAATTTAATGTAATTCGTCAGAAAAATGATAGAAACTATCTGTACCTTTTTTTTTTGGTTGACGAATTTTATAATTAAGCCAATTTTTAACTCATTTTTTAAATATGCGTGAGGTAATTAAGAAATAGGGAGTAGCGTACATCTCATAATTATTTTATTTTTATTTTTAAATTATAAAATGTTTAGTAACTTTTTTAAATTATATTTTATTTCTTATCTATACTCACTTAGTATTTTTAGTTAATTTTATTCTTGTTTTTTATTTGAAGTCAATTTTTAAATATTTTATTATTTTCATAATTTTTATTGGTATGAAATTAAAATATATTAATTTAATTATGAACAATTTGACTATAATCCATGGACTCGTATTTAATTTAACATAAATCACATTCTCAGTATTATAAATAACAAATAAGAGAGTTCAGATTGCAAACTTCACAAATTTAAAGAAGCTCGTTGACAAGATATATAATAATTCGTTATATTGTTTGGGCCGGGGGTGTTTTCCTAATTTTTTGTTTTTTTTACGCACGCACACACTTACCTTAATTTGATAGCTCTAAAATTATAAAGTTTTTGAAAATTATTTAAATGTGGAAGGGGAAAAAAACGATCTATTAATAATAAAATAAAGATAGTTGATTCTGTGGTTTTGTTATATAGTGAGCTCAAAAATTATTAAGAATGTTTGAATATATTTTCATAAAATTATAATTTTAGCTTTTAAAATTGATTAAAAAAAATTATCTGAGCAGATACCCAGTTGATTGTCTTTTTCAAGTGTGCTCGAGTGCAAATTACCATCCTCGCTACTTTCCAACCCAATTTCAATCTTCCATGGCGCGAGGACTTGAGGCTTTCTTCTGAGAGGCGCGTTCCTCCGAGTGGAGTGCTTGTGGCAGATTTAAATGGATAGCGATGGCCCGGTTCTTCCTCAAGATATCATCACCAACATCCTCATAAGGCTTCCGGTAAAATTCCTAATCCGATTTCAATGTGTGTGCAAGCATTGGAAAAATCTCCTCAAAACCCCATCTTTCATCGCAGAACACCTCCACTACTCCTCTCATGAAAACCCTTGTATTCTTTTAGGAGATTATGACAAATCTGATTCTTTTCGTATATGTTTGCTCGATCGTGAGATGCAAGTCCTTGAACTTCGGAACGATGCTTTTATCGATCCTATACGGCGTCCTTCGATATTGGGTTCCTGCAATGGCTTGATCTGTCTTAGACTCTCTACTTATCGTATATCTCTTTGCATTTTAGTATGGAATCCAGCAGTTAGAGAGGCACGGGTGACTGGAGCTCTTAGTTACTCAGAGAATAACGATTACCGCGTAGGATTTGGGTTCAGTCCAACTGCTAATGATTACAAGATAGTGAATATTCGTGTTTGTTCAATTGTTGATCTGGTTAATCAAGTGGAAGTGCTTACATTAAGCACAGGGTCATGGAGGGAAGTTGAATTTGGGAGCTTAGATCGTGTAGCTGTGCTTTCTAACGGTTACAATACTGATGGAGCCATCTTCTGGGATGCGGTAAAGCTTGGTGTCGACGAGGAGGGTGAAGATGATGTTGAAGTGATAGTCTCATTTGACATAGCCATGGAAGTATTTACATTGATACCAATACCTTCTGCATCCTCTGCAATTAGTATTGCTTATGAGAACAAGCTTGCTATGCTTTCTCATGATACAAGAAGAGACTCCCAATCATCTTCGATTCATTTGTGGGTGAGGGACGAGGAGGGTACATGTGCATCTGGAGAGGGATGTAGTTGGGTTAAGAAATGTACTAGCAACCCTTATTTAGGTAGCTTGTTAGGTCCAGTGACTGTTTGGAGGAATGAAATTGTCTGCAATCTTTATCCATCGTGCAGGCCAGTGGAGAATGATGAACGAAAAATTGTCTTGTTCAATCTCACAACTAATGAATTTAAGACCTTTTATATCCGCAAATCTACCCTTAGTTATAATATTTTTAATTATGCCGAAAGCCTTGTGCCAGTTGGTAACATCCACATTGAATAGCCTTGGTACTAAATCTTCATTATTATTTGGCATTTTTTTCTTTGTTTAAGCACTTTGGTGATAATGAACCTGTAAGAGTTTAGTTCATTCTGTAACTATAAGACTTGATGTCCTTTCGTTGGTTTTATCAAGAATGATGGATGGTGAATGTATATATGAGATAACAGATAACAGATATTTATAGGTTTATTTGCATTATCAATACTATCTGGTTTCAGTTTTTTTTCAAAGATGGATATGTAATTTAGTTGCTGATGTTTGGATTTTTTTGGGACCTTTTTGTTCTGTTAATATATCTATTGTTCGGTATAATATGAGTGGGAAGAAAAGTAAGTGAAACAAATTTGAGTATTTTGCTTTTGTTTATTCATTTCTAGTGGAGAAATGAACTTAATACACAGTTTGTGACTTTATGTGAGTAGTTTTTCTTCGCAAGTTGTGTGATCTTGGATCATTGGTGGATTAGAATAAGATATAACATCTCCACAACTAAAATCTTTATACTGACCATTAAGATTTACAAGTCGTCTTATATCAAAAACTAAGAATGGAATTTGCTTTCTAATTTTAAAAATCCTTTCAAGCACTAACCAAATAACAATAGTGAGATAATAATGAGAAAGTTGTAAGAGAGTCCTTCATTGCCAAACACCATAGGAAATCATTCGAGAAGACGTATGAATAGGATATAATTTTTTGTGACTTTAGCCAATTATTGACTTACAAGTGTCTACAAAACGCATTTTTTCCCTACAAACAATTCAAATAAAGGTAGTAGCATATATACATGTAATAAGTGCTAGAATCTGAAATACAACTTGCAATGTCTATTGCTTCAACAAGTTTTATCTTATTAGGTAGAGTTTGCTAATATTTATTGCTTTTTTAACATTTGAACCAATTTGAAAACATATGCTAAGCTAATCCTGGAAAAGAAAACCTAAAAAAAAAAAAAACCTACTATTGGATGTAATATGGTAAAATTTTCAGCAGAACCATGCGATCTCAATTTCCACGTTGACAGGGAACACCAAGTAAAGCTCTTACAAGAACTTCTGTTACTGAAGTTTGGCAATCCATGAGGTAATAATGCTTGGCAATTCATTCTTATGCAATAATCTTTTTGGTAAATAAGGAGTTCCTTTTTGTATGTTAACCTGGAATAACTTGGGATCTCTCTTTAATTCTCAGATTGTAACATTTAAAAAACAAACGAAAGAGGGAAAAAAGATTTGACTAAAGAAAATGTATTCTATCATTGACTTCGAGAGTTCATTACAAGGTGATATATATATATATATATCAACTCATTTATATATATATATATATATATATCGTACTCATTTATCCCTGTTGCAACTGAACTTAAACCAAACTACTGCTAATACTCTCCCCTGCTGATATCCTACCTTAAACTTAGAGTGAATTGGTGTCTTTGAATCTAAGTTTTGCCTTGAGAAAAATTAAACATTGGTTCCAACTGTGGCTTGGTTAATATATCACTTACTTATTGATTAATAGAACAGAAGGAATGTGACATGTAGTCAGTTTCTTCTGCGGAACCTGCTCTCCTACAAAAAACAAGCAGTGAAGTTTCATATGTTAAGTGCAATGGTGGAGTGGGGGATGTATAGGTTAATTGCATTGTTCTAGAGTTATCACAGGAACTGATCTGAGAAGCTTAAGCTCATGCAAAAGTTATCGCAGCCACATGAGCTCTCAATTACAAGAGCAAAACTCCTATATTCTGCCAGTGCACTATATCATTCAACAATGAGCTGCTTTTGGCAATCCACAAGATACAATTTGGTCCTAAATGAACACAAAACCTTGACGTTGATTTTCTATCATCTGTATTGCTTGCCCATAATGCTAGGTCGTTGCCTGTTAGTAACGCGCTGCATGGCTCGAGTACAGTGATAAGTGAGTTAGAGCCGCTGCATCGGCGCCCGGATGCAGTGTTAAATGAGCAAGGGCTACTGTGTCATTCTGGACGCACGCGGCTAAAGAAGTTAGTCTATGAGAGCAAAATTAAATTTGATACTTGGAATGTTGGGACATTAAATTGTAAATCTGTAGAGGTTGTAGGGGTTATGATTCAAAGGAAAATCAATATCCTTTGCCTGCAAGAAACAAAATGGCGTGGAGAAGAAGCTAAGGATATTCAAGGTTTCAAACTTTGGTATACAGGAAAAGTAAGTGCACGCAATGGAGTACGCATCATTATAGATAAGGAGTGGAAGAAGAACGTTGTAGAAGTTAACAGAATTGGAGACAAAATTATTTCCTTAAAAATGATAATTGGACGTGAGACTGTTAATATTGTTAGCGCTTATACGCCGCAAGTCGGGACAGAAGCCAGTCTTAAGGAATTATTTTGGGAGGATTTGGAGGGGTTGATTTGACATATACCACAGAGTGAAAAGATTTTTATTGGAGGAGACTTTAATGGGCATGTTGGGAGGGAAGCTGGTCAGTATGCGAGGGTGCATGGTGGTTTTGGTTTTGGAGAGCTAAACAATGAAGGACAAACTCTTCTTGATTTCTCATTGGCGTATGATTTTAAGATTGCTAACACTTGTTTCAAGAAGAGAGATGAGCATCTCATCACTTACAAAAGTGGAGCCTCAAGGTCACAGATTGATTTTCTTTTGGTTAGGAACACAGATAGAAGACTTTGTAAAAATTGTAAGGTGATCCCCGGAAATACTGTAACGACACAACATAGGGTCCTAGTCCTTGATGTGTGTATTATGAGTAAAATCTAAAAACGTCGACAAGTAGTAACACCAAGGATTAGGTGATGGCAATTAAAAGGTGAGAAACAAGATATTTTCAAGCGAAATCTTTTGGATAAAGGAATTTGGGAATCTCAGGGAAGTGCTAACATTATATGGGAAGATATAGCTAAAAAGATACGGGAGGTTGCAAAAGTAGTTTTGGGAGAATCGAAAGGTTCTGGTCCGAGAGATAAAGAGTCTTGGTGGTGGAATAATAGTGTACAGGACAAAATCAAGTATAAAAAGAACTGTTTTAAAACCATACATTTGTGTAACAATGAGAAAAATTAGGAGAGGTACCGTATGGCTAAGAAGAAAACTAAGAGAGCTGTGGGTGAAGCTCGTTCTAAAGCTTTTGAAGAATTTTCTAAGAATCTTGAGACGAAGGAAGGAGAGCAAAGTATTTATAAGATTGCCAAGAGTAGGGAAAGAAACTCAAGAGATCTAGAACAGGTAAGGTGTATTAAGGATGAAGAGGGAAGAATTTTAGTTACAGATGATGAAATTAAAAATAGATGGGAGACTTACTTTTCTAAACTTTTCAATGATGGAGAGGATTCATCTAGTAACTTGGAGGATTTAGTAATTGGTGAAGGAAAACAAAATTTGTCATTCTATCGAATAATACGTGATAAGGAGGTAAAGGAAGCTCTTAAGAAAATGGCAACGGTAGAGCCAACGGACCTAATTGTATATCTATCGAAGCGTGAAAATGTTTAGGTGAAGAAGGGGTGAGATGGTTAACTAAGTTATTTAATGTGATTTTACGGTCCAAGAAAATGCCTGATGAGTGGAGGAGAAGTACATTAATTCCTATTTATAAAAATAAAGGAGATATTCAGAATTGTACTAATTATAGAGGGATTAAACTCATGAGCCACACAATGAAATTGTGGGAGAAAGTAATTGAGCACAGGTTGAGATTGGAGATAAGTATTTCTGAGAATCAATTTGATTTTATGCCAGGTAGATCAACTACAGAGGCGATTTATCTACTAAGGGGATTAATGGAAAAGTATCGTTGTAAAGATAAAGATCTACACATGGTTTTTATTGATTTGGAAAAAACTTATGATCGTATATCAAGAGAAGTGCTTTGGAAAGCGTTGGAAAAAAAGGGAGTACGGATTGCTTATATTAAAGCCATACAAGATATGCATGAGGGGGTAAAAACTAGTATAAGAACACCTAGTGGTCAAACAAAGGATTTTCCTATAAAGATTGGACTATATCAGGGATCATCTCTGAGTCCCTATTTGTTCAACTTGATTTTAAATGTTTTGACGGAACATATTCAAGAGGAAATCCCGAAATGTATGCTCTTCGCGGATGATATAGTTCTTATAGCAGAGACAAGAGAAGAGGTTAATTGTAAACTTGAGTTATGGAGGAGGAGGACATTGGAGTCGAAAGGTTTTCGTCTGAGTAGAAGTAAGACGGAATATTTATATTGTAAATTTGGTAAAGGAATATTCGACAATAATTTGGAAGTGAAATTGGGAGATCAAATTATACCTCAAGTGGAAAAGTTTAGATATTTGGGAGCCATTATTCAAAATGATGGCGAAATCAATGAGATATTTCACATAGAATTCAAGCTGGGTGGTTTAACTGGAGAAAAGCTAAAGGAGTTATTTGTGACCGTAAGGTGCCTAATAAACTTAAAGAAAAGTTTTATCGCACTGCTATCAGACCGGCAATGTTATATAGTAGTGAATGCTGGGCTCTAACAGGACAGCAAGAGCATAAAGTTGGAGTAGCAGAGATGAGAATGTTACGATGGATGTGCGGACATACACGTAAAGATAAAATTCGAAATGAGCACGTATGCGAAAAAGTGAGGGTGGCACCTATTGAGGAAAAAATGGTAGAAAATCGGTTGAGATGGTTGGGGCATGTACAAAGAAGATCAAGGGAGGCACCAGTAAGAAGAGTGGAACATATAACTTTGAGTCCGATTAAGAGAGGTAGAGGAAGGCCTAAGAGAACACTCTTGAAAGTTGTTGAACGCGATCTCTTAATTAATAATATTCCTAAAAACTTGATAAATGATAGAGCACAATGGCGTCTTGTAATCCATGTAGCCGACCCCACCTAGTGGGATAAAGGCTTGTTGTTGTTGTTATAGTTGTTGTTGTATTGCTTGCCCAATCAGCATCACAATAAGCGGGTGGTGAGAGTTAAATTTGTAGCTTAGGTAAGCATAAGAACTTGAGTGATAGTACCATTGTACCATTAACATTAAGATAGTGAATAATTTGTTTCACAGCCTTCTAATGTTGCTCACGCGGCTGATGCATATACTGACAGACTTT